CCATGTCCAGCAATCTACCAAATAAAACTGACTCTCATCCTTGAACAAATTCTATAATTTTGTATTGTTTATCTTATTTCGACTAGTAGAATGACTGTTGAAAAACAACTGAACTACATGACATTTGAAAATTCCATTCAGTGCCTTCAATTTAGTAGTATGTATCCCTTAACTTAGGACAGTCAAGGGAAAATAGCCATCATATGAGATTTAAAGTAACTAATACTCAACTGATGATTTCACATGTATACCTAAAGATCTCAGATATCATGAAAATGTGCCCTTATACAGGAATAGGAATGGGACTGGACCTGTGACTTCACAAAAACCAATGCAATGGTACTGGTTTTATACCAACGCAAATAGGCACCTCTTTTGCAGTTTGCAATTTTAAGAGTTGCCTACAACCCAGACAAGCTTAAATGATTTTGTTGTGGTGGTTTAGTCGTATCAGTCAAGTATGACTCTTTGCAACCCCTTTTGGAGGTTTTCTTGGCAAAGATACCGAAGTGGTTTGCCACTTCCATCTCCAGTTCATTTTACAGATGAAGAAACCAAGGCCAACAGGGTTAAGTGATTTGCCCTGGGTTACACAGCTAGTAAGTGTCTGAGGTCAGATTTGAACACAGGTCTTCCTGACTCCAAGCCCGGCACTCTATCCACTTCACCACCTACCTGACCAGTTAAATGACTCCCTAGAATCAAACAGCCAGTCTGTGTTATACAGTCAAAAGTTCAAATCCAGGAATTCTTGCACTCGAGGACAGGTCTCTATCATCTACACCATGCTACCTCTTTTGTCTTTGTAACTACTTTCACATCTTATAAAACGGTAAAAATGACAGACTTGTTTACTGTTCATTCTTCATGTAGGGCTATGACTAAAAGAGTCTGGAAATGGTACACCAAGAAGATCAGTTCCCTGAAGAAAATAACCTAGAAAGTACACATGAATTTGTTTACCTAAATTAATGCTGTTTTGTTGGGGCTATGCTATTTCCTATACAAATTGGTTTTCTGTAGATTTTAAGTCTGCCAAATACTTAGTGATTTCTGTAATACAGTTAACATAAACTGTTCCTATTTTTCACAATGACAAGAAACTTACAGTGGGGATAACAATGAAAGTGAGTTCATTTGTCTTTTCTCAGATTCATCATTTTCCTCTACTTCTCAAAGGCTTAGAAAATCAACAAATAGCTCCCACCTATCTCTTTGCCTGATCCTGAACTTACTTCTTCACATTGATTTTAGGGCACAATTTCCTTAGCAAAAAGCAGGGTCAAATATGAAACATCTGGATTCACCAGATGTTCCAAAAGAGAAAAAAGATCAATGTAGGAGGGAGGAAGAAAGTCAATGTTCCAACATGGATGTTAAAAATCACAGATAAAAGATGTTACTAAAAAGCAGGCAAATATTCCTATAAAAAGTTATCTTTTTTTGTCAGCCTAAACAAGAAACTAAGATGGCAACAGCATGGAGTGAAAGGAAAAACTAGTGTAATGTTTAAAAAAAAAAAAAGCAGAAAGACAGCAAGGACACAAAAAATCTTCAGAGTATATTCATTTATTAAAGTGGCATCACAGTCTGCTTTTGGATACATTTGGATACACAGAATACATTATTTTGCTAAAAACAATTTAACATGCAAAGTACTTATTGTAACAAGCCACTGGTCTGGTTAAAAGTTTAGCAAAAAATAGTTTCAGGGGAAATTTACACTCTCCTACAACATAAATTCTATTCTCAAAAATAATTTACTATAGACATATTTAGTTCACATGTATAAGAGGCCTAAGGCTCTCAATTTCTCAAAAGCATTATCCTTACAGTTCAATCATGCAAAGTGGCCCCAGACCACAGGCCAAGAGCCTATGAAAAAGTATGCCAGGGGAAAAATAAAATTAATTTTAAAAACTCAACTCTTATCCAATGTATTTATTATCGGCTTGACTTTGAAAAAATGGCAAAGGCTGACAAAAATCCTGGCCATAAAAACACTCCCATTTCCCACCCACAAAACTACCTAAGTTAGAATTCTTAGGACTCAAAGCAAAGGCTTGAACAAAACTAATGTCCAACATCTCACCGAAGCCAATATCAGCTCTGGTATCCATTTTTAAAAGTCTAAGAGAAAAATTCTATGTAAAATCTAATCAGTATCTAGTTTCAATTTTTCAGTCCTAAGACAATCAAAAGAAGTAGTCAACAGCTTCTCCAAACAGATATCCCACGTCTTTTTTTAACTCCCTCCTAAACAGGGAAAGACAGGGTGACACCAGCAAAGCACTAAGAGAACTTGTGTTGCCTTTACTGGCCAAGTCAAACCCATTATAAAGGTAATGTGAACCATGTGAAATACATTTCATAGGAATGCTTCTCTGAATCCTGGCTTCCTAGATGATCCAAGCAACTAAAGGTCTTAGAGTAAGAAGAATCAACCAGGAGAAGGGTGCTCGGGTAGGTTTGTCCTCAGTTATTCTCACTGCAATTCCAGCTGCCTTGTCACTAAAATTAATTTCATGAGCCACTTTTGGCACCTCTCACTAGCTGTTAACCAGGTCTAGACATTGTGATGCATGTGTCAGAATTCTACTATAAAAACAGTTCACACTTATATAGAACCTTAAAGGTACTAAAAAGGCCTTGATGCTAAGTGTTAAAAGGATCATTATCCCATTTTACAGATGAGGATAAGGAAAGTTGAGAGAAATTAAGTGCCCTGGCCAACGACATACAATTAATAGAAAGGCAAGCAGACATCTCAAAGAATGGCATACTAGGGTTATGGGGCTTGTTAGCACTCTGAAATTTTAGACCTTAGAGTCAGTTGGAAATGTCAGGGCAGAGGTTTAACAATGTAGTGTTTGCACCCAAGAAGGTTAGTGAATTAGTACATAACAGTGCCAAAATGTCAACATGATCACACTGGCATCATAATGGGCCAACACTATGTCTCTTAAGGAAAAATCATTCAGACAAGTTTTTGGTTTTCATTTTTGGGGAGTCAGTAGCAGGGAGAGGGAGAGCTCTGATGTCAGTCCTTACCAAATGTCCCATATTCTCCTGAGAACCTCTGTGCCAGACTCTGAATCGGGTTTTACCTACCTTCATACTCCCGGTTATGTGCAGACTATAATAAAAAACTTACAATAAAAAACTTAAGTCTAGAATTACAGACACTATCTTTTGTTGTTATTCAGCTGTGTCTGACTCTTCATGATCCCATTTGGGGTTTTCTTGGCAAAGATATTGGAGTGGTTTGCCATTTCCCTCCCCAGCTCATTTTCCAGATGAGGAAACTGAGTCAAACAGGGTAAAGTGACTTACCCAGGATCACATAGCCAATAATAAGTGTATGAGGCCAGATTTGAACACCAGAAGATTAGTCTTCCTGACTCCAGGCCCAGCACTCTATTCACTGAGCCACCTAGATGCCCATAGCCATTACCTATCCACACATTTTCACAAAGCACAATCTGAAAAACTCACATAAATGGATCAACTTGTCTCCTTCATATAAGGATCAGAGAAGGAGAATTATTAGGAAAGCAAGCAAATAAGAGAGAAAGCCATTTACAGAATGAAAGTTATCTTCTGAGCTGACCTGGCATAACGCTAAGCGGCAAATCTTTTCCATCTGACTGATCTCCATCATAAATTTCAGACAATCATTATTTTCAACACTGTGTACCCTCTCTATGACTCAGTCACAAGATCTTTATAACACAGAAGGTAGTAGGAAATTTCCAGGCTCTGTACAACCACGTTGCTACATAGATAAAAATTAAATTTTATCTTGAAAATGTTTTATCAAATATTATTATTTGATGTTATTGTGCAGGCCACTGAGAAGCTTGACAATTCCTCTAGAGTTAGTCGTAACAGAATTCAATTTATGCTAACAGGAAAAAATGGTGGTGAATCCCCCATTACACGCAGTGTTAGTCTGGCTCTTGTTTCTCTACTTCCATTCCAGATGTCAGCAACCTCTCTGATCTTCAATGACACAAAAAGAGTTAACCAATGTCTATAGTTGTTGCCATCAGGTTTTCAGACAAGGAAAAAGAGCAATGACATTGTGCTGCCAGTTTTTCCTCAGGTAATTTCCAATTACTACTGTAACATCTCTTTAATGTTAAATCATCCAAAATTCCATACTTCTCTAGCAATATAAGTATTTGCATCAGAAAAGACAGGAGATGGATGAGAAAAGATTGCACTATTTCCTATCTCTCGGTTCCAGTAAAATGAAGAGAGAACTAATTGGAGCTACGGGATGAAACAGAGGTTGGGAAGTATATGCAAACTGAAGTTAACTACGAATTCCCAGGAATGATACATGGGGAAACTTACTCATCTGCTGATTTATAATAATTTTTAAATTACACTCAATTTTGTAAAATGTAGAAGTAAACAATTCCAACTTTTGAAATTTAGAAAGCAAATTTACATTTTAAATAGTACTTTAATCATTTAAATAAAAGATATTTTGTAATGCTTTTTAATTTCAACATTTTTAGTAAATATTAATTTTTAAATCTTACAATATATTGGTAAGGTAAATAAGAACATTGGGTTGTCTCTTCTTAACCAAAAGAGAAAAAGGTAAAGAAAGTTACAAAGTCATAGAAAGAGCACAGAAAATAGATAAAAAATCAAAACTTTAAATGCAAGGAAAAGAGGTGAAAGGAAACCCATCCAAAATATAAAAATTTCAAAAAAATAAAAAAAAATAAAAATTTCAAGAGGAATCTTGCTTTTGGTTTCAGGTAGAACCTAAAATTCCCAAGGTTGCACACATCATTCAGTTCAATTCAGATATTTTATTAAATGATTAGTATGTACATACCATTAGGTGAGAGAAGAAGGTATAATCCAAAACAGTAAAGGATCTCTGTTTTAAATGGACTCTTCATATAACCACATCTAAACCCCTCCCCCACAACTTGTGATTTTTCTGTTTAAAACTCACAAAAGTTCAAGTTTGGAAATACCTTTAGAATCATAATGATGAGAGGTACTCGGAGATTTTGAACCAGGTGGAGAAGATTCCTTCATTCGCCCAATAACATTTTCTGAAAGCTGAAAAAAAAAACCCATCCAATAAAATCAGTTAGAAAAGAGTATGAAATACAAATGACACAAAAAGTCTAAGTCTTACAATCACACACACACACACACACATATATACACACATGCACCCATGCATTTTGATGCATAACAACTGCTCTACAGAAAATCAGGCTGAGTAAGAAGTTAAGCAAAAACTAAGAACTGTATTAGCTTTAGAAAATGTACTCCACAGTAGTAGTACTGAACTTCTTATCCTCTGTTAATTTCTTAATATCTCTGTTAATTTAATTGGCAAATACACATACACACACACACACACACACACACACACAACATAACATGTTATGTATTTAATTTTAACTAATTTTTAAGCACAGAGGAAATCTTAGGAAATGTAAAAATGAGGTTGAGAAATGCTAGTTTTAAGTATGGTTAAAAGGAAGCCTAGAAGATGACTACCCAACATGTCTGAACTAAAAAGAGGAAAATGAACATCAAGTTAAAAGAAAGATATTTAGAGAAGCAAAAGTTTTAAAGAAGATTTTAGCCTGACTAAAGAAGCTGAAATGGAAAGCAAAGAATTTACCAACTGAACAGAAACAGGAATAGCTTTGAAAGTCAAAAACCACCAGCTAACAACAATCCACTCAGGCAGACAGATCTAACTTAGATGAGATAGATATTTCGTCATGAGATGCTAGAACAAATCCAAGGGAGTAGCAAATAAATAGATAGGGGTTCAGATAAAAGTAGTTTCACTCTGAATCCAAAGACTTCTAATTGGGGCCTACCAAAATAAATATATATACATATATTGCTGTCTCCTAGAGCAGGGAGAAAAAGTGAACAGTCAAGCTAGGAGACCAAAGGCAAGCCTGACAACTGTGTTAAACTAAATTCAACTAAACTTGAATTTGCACACAGAAAATTATTTCCCTGAATATATCATATACCATTTCCTCACATCCATACAAAATATATTCGTATTGTAAATTATAATACCATGGAAAACACACAGCAGAAATTTAATGTGTTACATGTTATAAAAACTACTGATCTAAACCTATTCTTTGCCAGACTGCTTTCCAGATTGCCTCACAGTTCTCACTGAATAAAGAGTTCTAGCCCTAGCAATTTATGCCACTGAATTTGTCAAGCATTAGACAACTGCACGCATTTGTTTCTGGGTTTTACTTATCCAATCAAGTCTACTAATCAACTTTTCTATTTTTATCCAGTACCAGGTAGTTTTGAAAATTCTACTTTGTAATATAGTTTGAGTTCTTATAGCAGCACTAAACATGCCTGTTTCCTACTTCTTTCCTGTATCCCCTGCTACTTTTAACCTTGGTATTCACTCTTCTAAGAGAATTTTATTTTTTCTAATTATATAAGGTATCCTTTAGTTATGTGATTGGTACAGTACTAGATCTGCAAAATAAGCTGAGAAATATCATTCAATTTTACTATATTTGTACAGTTCAGACATGCATGCTAATAACTCTTCAATCATTTAGGCCTTCATTTGCCCTGTGCATGTCTTTGTAAGTTAACTATTTAATAGATCTTGCTGTTTGAAATAAATTTCTCTTCCTTGTTTTTCTTTAACTTTTAGCCTCCTAACTTTATTAGCTATATACAGAAATGCTAATAATTTTGTTGATTCAATATCCTGATACTTTAATGAGGCTTGCCTCAATTAAATTTTTGGTGATTCTCTGGAGTTTGCTAAGTAAGTCATATCATCTGCAAAGAGAGATACAATACCTGATGAGAGCTGCCAGTCTCCCATTCCAATCTCTCCTTTTTAAAAAGAGTGGTTCCTCCAGGAAGTAAAATGGATAATTTTGTTTACATGAAATTAAAAAGCTTTTGCACAAACAAAACTAATGCAGCCAAAATTAGAAGAAAAAGAGGAAACTGGGGGAAGATTTATAGTAAGTTTCTCTAACAAAGGCCTCATTTCTCAAACAGAGAGGAAACCAAGTCAAATTTATAAAAAATATAAGCCATTCTCCAGTTGATAAATGGTCAAAGAAGAAAAAGAAGAAATCAGACTTATTTACAGTCATATAAAAATGTTCTAAATCAATATTGATTAAAGGTATGCAAATTAAAACAACTTTGAGTTATCACCTCACACCTATCAGACTGACTTACATGACAGAAAAAGAAAATGACAAATGCTGGAGTGATGTGGAAAAATAGGGACACTAATGCACTGCTGGTGGAGTTATGAACTGGTCCAATCATTCTGGAGAACAATTTGGAACTACACCCAAAGGACTATAAAACTGTGCATACCCTTTGGGCCAACAAGCCCACTATTAGGTCTTTATCTCAAAGAGATCAAAGAAAAGGGAAAAGGACCTATACGTACAAAAGTGTTTATAGAAGCTCTTTTTGTGGCAGCAAAGAAATTGAGGGGATGTCCATCAACTGGGGAATGGATGAACAAGTTGTGGTACGTGATTATTATGGAACACTATTGTGCTATAAGAAATGATAAGCAGGATGTTTACAGAAAAACCTGAAAAGATTTATGTAACTGATGCAAAGTGAAATGAGCAGAACCAGGAGCCAAGATGGCAGAGAAAAGGCAGCAACTCACTTGAGCTCTCCCTAAAACCCCTCCCAACACCTTTAAATAATGCCAGAAAACAATTCCTGGAGCTGCAGAATCCACCAACGACAGGATGCAAAAATTTTACAGTCAAAGACAACTTAGAAGGTCAGCAGGAAAGGTCTGTTTGCACCCAGGTGAGAGTGGAACCCAGTCCAGGGCAGACCGCGCAAGCAAAGACCCAGACCCAGCAAACCAGGAACGGGCCTTGGGAACTACTAAATCAGCGGCGGCAGTAGCTACCTCCAGAGCTCTCAGCCCGCAGACAGTAAGGGGGCTGAACAACTGGTCAGAAGGAGATTAAGTGGATCTCTTTGCTAGCACTGAAGCAGGATTCCCTTGCTTTGCCCATACTCAGATCGGGGTGTCAGTCCTGGGTGGCAGTCCCAGGGTAAGGAGAAATACTACCACACCAGAGCTTGCTGCTGCAGTGAAGCAGGAACCCACATCACAGTTCCAGGGCAGAAGAGTGCTTGTGATTGTTCACAGACCAGAACAAAGGCCAGGAGAGTAGTAAACACACCTCTCCTTAATTTGAAGAACAGAAAACTTACAGGTCCCTAGAAGTATCTCAGAAAACAGCCACACAAAATCCCTGAAGCTTGGGACAGTGAGCCCTCCATCCTAGAAGCAGGACCCAATTTTAACAAACAGCTAAAAGTAAAGAAATAGACTGGGAAAATGAGTAAACAACAGGAAAAAATTCTAACCATAGAAAGTTACTATGGTGACAAGGAAGATCAAAACACACACTTAGAAGAAGAAAACAAGGCCAAAGCAACTACATCCAAAGCCTCCAAGAAAAATATGAATTGCTCTCAGGCCATGGAAGAGCTCAAAAAAAGTTGAAAATCAAGTAAGAGAGGTAGAGGAGAAATTGGGAAGAGAAATAAGAATGATGTAAGAAAATTATGAAAAACTAGTCAACAACTTGGTAAAGGAGACACAAAAAAATACTGAAGAAAGTAACACCTTAAAAAACAGACTAGGTCAAATGGTAAAAGAGGTCCAAAAAGCCAATGAGGAGAAGAATGTCTTAAATAGCAGAAATGGCCAAATGGAAAAGGAGATACAAAAGCTCACTGAAGAAACTCCTTAAATAATTCCTAAATTAGAATGAAGCAAATGGAACCTAATGACTTTATGAGAAATCAAGAAACAAAAAGACAAAGAAAGAAAGAATGAAAAAATAGAAGACAATGTGAAATATCGCATTGGAAAAACAACTAATCTGGAAAATAGATCCAGGAGAGACAATTTAAATTATTGGACTACCTGAAAGCCATGATCAAAAAAAGAGCCTACACATCATCTTTCAAGAAATTATCAAGGAAAACTGCCCTGATATTCTAGAACCAGGTAAAATAGAAATTGGAAGAATATACCAATTACTTCCTGAAAGAAATCCCAAAATGAAAACTCCCAGGAATATAACCAAATTCCAGAGATCCCAGGTCAAGGAAAAAATACTGCAAGCAGCCAGAAACAATTCAAGTATTAGGGAGCCACAGTCAGGATAATACAAGATTTAGCAGCTTTTACCTTAAAGGACTGGAGGGCTTGGAATATGATATTACAGAGGGCAAAGGAGCTAGGATTACAACCAATAATCACCTACCCAGCAAAACTGAGTAAATCCTTCAGGGGAAAAATTGGACATTCAATGAAAAGAGGACTTTCAAGCATTCTTGATGAAAAGACCAGAGCTGAATGGAAAATCTGACTTTCAAATATAAGACTCAAGAGAAGCATAAAAAGGAAAATAGAAAAGGGAAATCATAATGAACTTAATAAGGTTAAACTGTTTACTTTCTTACATGGTAAGATGATACTTGTAACCTATAAGAACTTTCTCATTAGGGCACAGATGTGAGTTGAATATGAAGGGATGATAGCTAAAAAATAAAATGAAGGGGTGAGAGAGGAATGTACTGGAAGAAAGAAAAAGGGAAAGGTAGAATGGGGTAAATTATCTCACATGAAAGAGGCAAGAAAAAGCTTTTACAATAGAGGGGAAGAGGGGGGAGGTGAAAGGGAGTAAGTGAACCTTACTCTCATCAGAATTGGCTCAAAGACAGAACAACATACACACTCAATTGGGTATAGAAATCTATCTTATTCTACAGCAAAATGGGAGGGGAAGAGGATAAAAGGGGGTGGGTTTAATAGAAGGGACAGCAGACTGGCAGATGGGGTAGTCAGAAGCAAAACACTTTTGACAAGGGACAGGGTGAAAGAAGAGAGAGAATACAGTAGAATAAACAAAGGGGAGGAATAGGATGGAGGGAAATAGCAATAGTAACTGAGGAAAAAAAATTTGAAGTTTCTCTATTTAAGGTCTCATTTCTCAAACATATAGAGAACTGAGTCAAATTTATAAAAATAA